GGGCCATTTTTCAGTGAAATCACATTTGCATGTTCAATAAACTAGATGTTAAACTACACGATCAGAAATAAATTATTAATGGCAACAGGACAAGGATGATGGATTATCTATATTTTGTTTTGTGACAAAGGAACTAATCACATAAGTTCGTAGTTAAGACGTGATACATTTAGTTCCAGCACAAAACATGGGCTTTCGATACCTGGTGGGCACGTGATTCATCATTCCTCTTTTTGTACACAAACAAACTTTTTTGGGCTCACTGTCTTCGCGGTAAATACTGAAGCATCAGGACCAGAAGCTCTTTGTGGACGCCCACTCCTGTGTTTGTCAGACGTATAGTAGCATAGTAACAGTCTGGTGGTAGTCTGACAGCTTTAAACCAAACTGAAGGTTGTTGCAGCTGCCGCCTTTTGAGTTTCTCCACAATTTACATACAAAAGCACAAGTTGGATAATATTATCGATTGTTAACTTTTCGACCATTGTGTTTGGACTGATTGAGCTTTTCTGCATATAAAGTACTGTAGTTGCTTATTTCCAATACTATGTGCAGCTCTTTGGATGTGCCAAACAAAATATATAGTACATTAAAAGTAGTGCATTTAATGGAGTATCCAATTTCTTATTTAGAAAACCAAAAGGAGATGTCGGGGATATAACACGAAAATTTCACGTGCGCCGTGTTGTGTCTGCTACTTAAGGGGCATCAAGTACCCGGAAGGATTAATTACAGCTTTGATGTGTCAGTTGTGTTATCTAGCAAAGGGCATTATTTTTAGCTGTAACAGTTGTAGTAGTTCTCTAGCTGCTACAGTTGTAGTACTTGTCTTCCCTATTTTTTAAAAAACGAATTTCATTAAAGTATATTAATAAGTGAACATTTGTTTTATGTTTATAATTCAAGGGTTATATATTAATATATTGTTAATATCATAACAGTTTATCTAATTTTCGATTATACTGGGGGCCAGTGAAGCTGTAATATTTCCTCTAGGACGGCACAAGTACCCCGGAATGCTAGACCGACGTTAAGGAGATACTTAAAGAGCCCACGCCTTCTAACTTTACCCTACAATCGACTCCACCATATGCTGGGGTCATGTCGATTAATAGGGAGGATATCATACAGATTCCATGCCTTGAAGTATAATACCACGCATACATAAACATTACTGCCAGGCTCGGTCCCATTGAAAATTTGAAGAAAATTAGACCACTAAATAATGTATTGTTTGGATAATTAAGAAACTGGTGTTTTTACACTTAGACATCAATACAATTTACACAGATCTGTCAGTTGCATAAATACTTGATCTCCTTGATACCTTGAATATTAGTCTAGATTATTATTTTTTCTTTCTTTCTTTCAGTATTTTTACAGAATTTGTTTTGGCAGATATCATGTTTGTGCAATGAAAAGTCGCACACATTGTTATATAAGAACAATTTATTCTGCCATCTAGCGACCAGAAATGAAACTGTTATTTACGAAACATGGAAATACTATATGCTTATAAACTGGACTCACTGCTAAGTAGTAGTTTTCCATAAAAACATATGTAGTAGAAGAACAGAATACAATTACTCTTATACTCGATAATAGCAATTAGGTTCTCAAATAAGGCTATAACTCAACTTTAGTAGTTATTTGTGAGCATCATAGCATAATAGATTTAATGTGGCAATCATTATTTTCTCGACTCATCTCTACATACTAAGCACTACCGTGCCTAGTGATAGCCAGTTTCCAAGTGCTCTTAAAATGCTTTTCTATTGTACTAAAGCAATTGGTAAAACTTCACTCATTTAACTTTTGGCTAGCATGGAGGAAGAAAAACGAATTATGAACACTTTGGATCTTTAGCTAGTTCCCAGTTCTCCACATTAGAAACACTTTTCAATGATAATGGGAATCTTACAAGCTGTGAAACACTCGATATTGGTAATTAGGTGCTCAAATAAGGGTATAATTCAACTTTATCAGATATTTGTAAGCATCATAGAGTAGTAGATTGAATGCGGCAGCTATATTTTTCTCGGTCCATCCCTACATATTAAACACTACCATGCTTAGTGGCATTAAAACATGTTATATAATTAACCAGCTTGCAGGTGTGCATAGAAACTTAAATAAAAATTTTTTTCACCATAATACTAGATGATGAACAAAACAGGACCATGTACTCATATTTCATTATCTAATGATGCATTATGGGATCTTATTAAACAAATAAGTGTTGAGTTGTTTAGAGAAGACATAATTGAGTTAGCTACCAATATTTCACATTCTTGTTACTTCTTTCTCTAGCTTAATGTGAAAGACAGAGGCATAAAGCTAAACGTTATTAAAGATATTTTTGTTATTTTGGGCTGTTAATAAATTTCTGAAAAACAAGAGGAGAAATGTATGTAAGTTACGCAGCTCATGATATTTCAAGTATTTTTGTGATATTGTTTATATAGAAAAGATTTAGGGTGCTTAGGGTCTTTAACTCTGATAAGGCTTACAAAGTGGGAACGATTTAAGGTCTTTTTTATCCACATAAAGTTTAAGAGTTAATAAAATATTTTGGAAAATTGTATTCATAAAGTAATAAAGATAATCGGATTTCTTTTTTTGCAGGATCTTAAATACAGATCAAGTTTAAAGGATATATAAAACTCGTGATTTATTAACTAATAAATCTTAAAGTGAAAAGGGGAATTTAGGTAATATTTAGTGATAAAACTGGTATAATGGAAAATGATAACAGTGTTTTTTTTAGGTATAAAACCTAGTGAGCTTACAGGATTTAGCTTTGTTTATTTTATGATATTTTCATGATGAATAGCTAGTTACCAAAGAAGTGTGAGTAATGCATTAAAAAAAATAAAAAGATTTATGATATGCACAATATAATTTATATTGCTTTAATTCCTTCACTGAGCCCAGCGTGTCTTATTTGTTAGGGTTCTGATTTCTGTATCAAAAGGTGTAAGGTTCGCGTCATGATGTTCTTACTCGGTTCAAAACTGGACAAAGCCCTTAGGTATTAACGATTTCTTGTCACATTTACAGTAAGTTGTTGTTGTTGTTGTTGTTTTCTTATTGCAAAGTTAAAACAGTGGGGCTAGCTGCTCTTTATTCGCCTCTGGGAATCGAACCCCCTTTGTAAGTCCGTAAATTTACCGCTGCCCCACGTGCCAAGGTTTTTAAAATCGTGCTGTGTCCTAATTGTGGCTCAGATGGAGGACAGGTTTTGGTTTTGTGTGAGAAGAATATCGGAAGGATGAAGTAGGAGTCTTTTATTGTTGGGTCCGACGTTGGAGATAACTCCATTATCAGAAGTGGGTACGATATAAAAGTAGAAGTCAATCCCGTTATTCAGTTTTCAAAGAACCAGATAAAGCTCTTATGGTGTCAGCTACTGTTGACTGGCTGCCTGCCATCTGGTGAGTGGTGTAAAATCAAGGACGACTATACCTTAAGCAAGGGTTTTCTGACCAGGCCTCTTAGCCTATGTACGCATGTTCAGTTTGAAAATACCAAAATTGTAAGAACATTTTAAGCTATAGTATCTTCATCATAAAAAAAGCCCTCCCTTACGTTTGTCCCTCCAGTGGATAAGCGGTAAAGCTACTCGGACAGAACGCAGATAGACTATTGTGTACCTTTGGATTAAAACAAACAAAAAACCATCCTTTTTACTTTTTTTAGACTTTTTGAACCAAAGCTACAATGAGTTATCTACGCATTGCCATTTGTAACTTTGAACTGATAAACTGGGAAGATAGTTTATAAGCGGCATCCAACGCTAGCCCTCGTGGGATTTGACCCTCATTCGCATAGTGCACCCTTGGCTCCAGAGTTTTAAGTGTGATTTTGCAGCAATGGGATATGAGCCGTGAACACTTGGATTTACAGTACGGGCACGCTAACCATTTTTTCACACCTGTCCTCACCCTTCCATCTTAGTTTCGATTACTATCTATTCTTAACTGCCAGAATGAAACATTTGTTTCTTAAATAGATTAATTATTAAGATATTCGGTATAATTTAATATAGACTAAATGGAGTTAGTTTATGTCTTTTTGATTATTAAACTTTTCGGTACATGTAGCATGAGATTATATCTAATTAAAACATTTAAAAAAATGATATACTGATGTTTCTCTTTACTCTTTACTGTATGCAGCGCTTGCCTGACTGTTAGATATATACACGACTGTTTCATTTAAATTTAATACGAGAGTTATGATTTATATAGTTAAAAAGCACCAGTGTTAAATTTAGATAATTTATTGCAGGTTTGCTTACGTAACTGTTTACGAATCATTTGTTGTGCAGTTCAATTGTTGTGAGTGGACATCACATTACTCGAACCTTCGGAATTTTTCTCGTTGCTTTAAGTGTGTATTATTACATCATAATGTCTTGTAGTTCTAGAAAGTTCCAGGTCTAGTCGGGCAAGTTGGTGGAACTAAGCAAAATAATGAAAGTGAAAGTAACGGGCGATTTCTAAAGTGGGTTTCACAGCTTGTATTGTAATAACAGAGAGAGAGGAGAATAATTTGTTTTGTAAAAGGGTGTTCTGAAGTAATTTAACCCACTTGTGTGGACTTTGATGAAAAGGAGACAATTACTTAAAGCTCTATATACAAATGTGATAACCAATAGTGTAACGATTTTTTGTACATACATTTGATTTGTTTTGAATACATATTATTTTAAAACAATTGGATTGTATGCTGTCCGTTTATTGTTAAAATTTATCGCCAACAAGTCACACAAACCTACTGTAAAGAATCCATCCCTATAAAAACCGGACACTAATCTTACGTCTAATATGTAGTTTTTGTCTTTTATTAGTTTTAAGCAAAATATTATAAAGGTCAACGTTTGGATTTCAATGACAATATATGTTTTAATATTTTCCCATTTAAATGTATGTTTATAATATTTTGTAATTATATACCAATATCTTAATATACATATATTGGTGTTTTTATTTAATCAGATACGTCTAACTGTGAAAGAATGCTTGACTCTAGAGATCGCAATGCAAAGCAGGTGACATCTTGTGGCAAAAATTGCGTACAGGTGTTGAATCACAAACCGCAAACAATACAAGGTAAGAGAAAAGCTCGTTACCACGTGAAGATTGCTGTTTATTTTTTAAATATACACAAGATGAATCACTGGAATTTGTTTTAAAGGCCCCCCAGTGACACAGCGGTATGTCTGCGGACTTACAACGCTAGAAACCGGGTTTCGATACCCGTGGTGGGCAGAGCACAAATAGCCCTTGTGTAGCTTTGTGCATAATTAAAAACAAACAAACAAACAATTGTTTTAAATTTATCTTACTCTTCCAGGTACGCCATCATGTTTAGAAAATAAAAGTTCTACAACTGTGCTGTAGACGTTAAAGTACAGTAGAAAATTGACATTGATATATATATATCAAACACTAAATGTAATTGCAATCAATACGAGAGATTAGTTCAATAAATTTATTCAGTTTCACTAGCTCTCAACACTCCGTTTAAGATGCATCAGTTGCCAAATAATTATTATAAAATAGTAATAACAATAAAAGGGATACTAATTAACAAATCACGCAAGTTATTCCGCTCCCAGAAATCCGAAATAAGAATTTAAAGTCTGAATACATGCCGATTGTATATTATCATACAAGGGCAGAAAAATATGTTTATTTATTAAGTATATATATATATATATATATTTTCCATCCACAGAAACAAAATGAGTCAGATGCTGATAAGCTTAGGTTTAGAAAGCACACGCAATAATCACGAATGGCCTAAAATATTTACATAAACAGCTATTTTAGTCCATGCGCCATTACAAAAGTTGGAAGAAATTTGCACAAACTCTCAGACATACAAACAAGAACAAACATATATCTTATAGAACTCTCAAATCGTCACTGACACCCACTAAACGCATATCTGACTCTGTGTCTAACTTATTATACTGGATTGAAGGTAAAGCTAAAAATTATTATATTATATTTGGGTATGAATGCTAACATAAGTAAATATTGGCCCGGCATGGCCAGGTGGTTAGGGCACTCGACTCGCAATCTGAAGGTCGCGGATTCGAATCCCCGTCCCACCAAACATGTTCGCCCTTTTAGCCGTGGAGGAGTTATAATGTGACGATCAATCCCACTATTCGTTGGTAAAAGAGTAGCCCAAGAGTTGGCGGTGGGTGGTGATGACTAGCTGCCTTCCCTCTAGTCTTACACTGCTAAATTAGGGACGGCTAGCGCAGATAACCCTCGTGTAGCTTTGCGTGAAATTCAAAACATACAAACAAACAAATAAATATCCAAATCTTAAAATAGCTCAGTAATTTGTTTAACGGTTAGCTGTTAACACTATTTACATAAATAATATTTGTTCATTAATTAGTGTGGACGTAAACTGATTAAGGTATTTCTATACTTAGAAAAAGTATGGTTTTCAAATAAGAACATTTGGGATCGATGCTGTTTAAAATTAAAAAACTGAAGGGGAACAAATGAAATCTCTGAAGTTCATATAATAAGAAATTATTAAATCAAATTCCTCCCGTTTTTCACTAACTGGTTTACCCTTTCTGGCACAAATAAAGCAGTCTAGCGTCTATCACGCACAATGATTAAGAACACTACAGTATTGGTTTATTCTTAGTTTCGTATATTTCTCAGTGGAGTGCTGCCTCACAAAATCCGAATACACAATTTTGGTGAGTAGCAAGTAAAATCTATTATTGGCCAAGCATATTGTGAGGTTACTGTCGAAACTATGATACGCTTTTATGTTTTTTTAGATATATGTAAGTCAGATCTGCCCAACCAATTTTATGTTTCAAATATGGTGAAACATAAAGGTTTACGACTGGAATGCTATTAAATTCACTGCAACTCTCGTCCACACCTTTGGTGTTGTGAATAGACTAAAACTGTGAAACACATTAGTAATCAATAAATTTCGCTGTTGGTAAATGCTTTCATAAGTATATAAGTTAGCACTTACTTACGCTGCGAACAAGAACTATATTTATCAATATATAGCGCTCACAAATGGTTTGTAGCACCACGAGGCAAGAAGGTCTGTTTCTACATTCTACTCTGTTTTATTTAGTGGTTCAGTGATAAAAAACAACAACTGAGAGTGACATTTAGACTGTTGTTTATCGCGGTTTCCTGTTCGTCTCGCTCACTTTACAGGTATTGATTATGAGAGAGAGAGAGAGAGAGAACAGTATAAATTTATTTACTTTAAGACTAACAAGAAATTTTCCCTTATAGGCTTCTGTAACAAATAAATATTTGACCAGCAGGATCTGAGCAAGAAATAGTTGTTCACACCATATCTATAAAATGGTAATGTTACAAAACAAAAGACAGTTCCTGAGCCTGATAGATGGCTGCTTATGTTTGGTTGAAATATGAACAAATAGATCAGTAGTGTGTACTGCCGACTCCAAAATAGCCTGTTTAGTTCGTTTGTTTCTAGTTTTAAGCACAAAACTACACAATGGGCTATCTGCTCTGTCCACCATGGGTTATTAGCGTTATAAGTCTTCACGCTTACTGCTGAGCCAACGGACAAGAAAATATTGCAAAATATAAAACTCTTCCGATATAGTGTGTAATACAAAGGCGTATTTATTTGTGTGTGTTGATTTGGTTGGTTAGTAAAAAAACAAACAAACTTGAATTATCAATTTTCACTTTCACCTCTTCACAATACTTCACAGACTGCCGACAGACGAAGAGATAAGTTCTAATCATATTCAAGGGTTTCAATGGTAAACACCAGTATTTATTACAAAATAATTTTCAAGTCATCTGTATTAGATATAGTTCCTCAGGGTCTCCGAGAGTCTTCTATTTCAAGAGTAAGTAAAACAAAAATTAAGAGTAAAAAATATTTTTATTTCTTGCTTTTGAAGTTTATATATCATACTGTGTTGTAGCCTACAAAGTACGTAATACTTCTTGTGATTCATGGCATGTGTACGTTTTACTGACGTCACGACAGAGCAAATTGCAACGTTAATAGTCCCTTATGTGACGTCATTTTAGTTTCTACTAACTAACTGACATACAACACACTACTGTATAATGGTGCGAGTGGTTAAAACAGGTGATCTCTCCAGGCGACTTTTGGCTCTCTTTCGTGGGAATAATAGATGGAAGTCAGAAAACGTTGAAATTGATATTTGAAAAAAAAAATTAAAGGTAAAACAAAAACAAATAAACGAACGAGAAAATAAAAACAAGTAACATATCCAAAAATGGATATGCTAAAAGTACTATCTGTAAAAAAAAGGATATCTTAATAATAATATATATATAATATACGAAAGTTTGCCCGCCATACAATATTAAGTAGAACTGATATTTCTTTGAACATACAATTTAACAATTTGTACTGATTTCACTCAGGTTTAACTATGATATTTAATATTATTCCTTATTGTTACTAATATCATAGTATTTCAATTACATTGGGTTAGATATTACAAGACAAAGAGTAAGGTTTTATGTTGATGATGACAGAGGAAATGGATTGAGAAAAGAATATTGTAACGGTAAACAACGAAGACGTGGATAAAAGTGTAAAAACGAGGATTGCAATAGTAGGGAGACAGAATACTGCATTGGTAAACATACAAGACCCGGTGATTAAACCATCTGTTGTCAAAGTAGGTTTGGCACAAAGGGTGAGCGCACTATGAATCATCAAGATTGATCAAAAGCTTGCCATCATTATTCTCTCTGAACAAACTGTTAAATTCTTTGTATACTGTGTTTGCTGATTTAGGTGTGGTGAAGATCGTAGATATAGGCTTAGTAGCCCAAACTATTTTTTTATTAGCTGTTTTAACGCCATGAACTACGAAACACCACAGAGCTCGAATCGAGAGGGCCTGAGTTATCTTACTGCCTATTTTATAGCAAAAATTTTATTGTGTTTTTAATCCGTGAAATAAGAGCATGAAAAATCTAGTTATTGTGTAACCTGGTTGTGTTCCTGCACTTCAAAGAAAGTAAAAGATACAGCCGCGGAAATACTATTTTGAAAATCACTATGAAACAACAGCTGATTTTGGTTAAATTTCAAAGAAAATAATTATTTTAAAACATTTGATTAAGTAACCATATTTTAGACTTTGAACCAAGAAAAATAACCGACAAATTCTTCTCTTCTGTAGCTTTGAGTGGAACGCACAACCCATGTACAACTTCTCAACCTACTAGCCTGGCTCTACCAATCACAAAAGTTGAGGTTCAGCCGGTGTCAAAGGTCCATTTGGGTTACAACATCCATCAGCTGAGTAAGTTGAAGCGATTCTTGACTACTCTGCAGCAATTCGGGAATGACATCTCACGCGACGTAGGCGAGCGCGTGCACAGTCTCATCTTGCTTTTAGTGGTGAGTGTTCAGTATCATTTTGTGTTTAGTACTGAGTGATTAGTATCATTTTCTTAGTAGTGAGTGTTTAATATCATCTTGTGCTAAGTATTGAGTGATTAGTAGTATTTTGTGGTGAGTATTTAGTATCATTTTGTGCTTAGTACTAAGCGATTAGTAGTATTTTGTATTTTTAGTGAGTATTTAGTATAATTTTGTGCTTAGTACTGAGTGATTGGTAGTATTTTGTGGTGAGTATTTAGTATCATTTTGTGCTTAGTACTGAGTGATTAGTAGTATTTTGTGGTGAGTATTTAGTATCATTTTGTGCTTAGTACTGAGTGATTAGTAGTATTTTGTATTTTGGGGTGAGTGGTTAGTGTCATCTTGTGCTTAGTGATGAACGGTTAATATCATCGTGCATAGCATCAGATTTACCTTTATAGTTTATGTACACTTGGGTGCAAGTGTTTGACATTATTTTGCATTTAGGCTAAAAACATTTACTTGCATTTACTGGATTTTTTTAAATATTCAAAACACGACGAATTATTTAGATTTACCAATAGATATCTTCTTCATCCTTACAAAGAACAAAATGAAACAGTTAATCTAAGATAGTCATTTTTACTTACATAAATTTTGGGTCAAATTTGGAAAAACCGAAACAAAAAATCACATTTCTGGCATTTTGACAAAGAACAAGATACGGAATTTGCCGTAAGAAATATATCTAACACGCAAACATGTTTAACTTCTCATTATGAAGAGTTTTTAATTGTGTTGTTTAACGATTTCGTTGCGTTTTCACGAATGCTTTATATTTAATTGGCCAACTCTGTGGGGAAACACGTGTAAGAGAAACAGACAATTCTAGCTATAAAATTAATTTACACAAATATCGTGTTAGAATTTCTATATCAAATCTTACGTTTACAATTTTTATCTTTTATGAAGAATTTAAAGGCCCGGCATGGCCAGGTGGTTGGGGCGCTTGAATCGCAATCTGTGGGGCGTGGGTTCGAATCCCCGTCCCACCAAAAATGCTCGCCCTTTCAGGCGTGGGGGCGTTATAATGTGACGGTCAATTCCACTATTCGTTGGTAAAAGAGTAGCCCAAGAATTGGTGGTGGGTGGTGATGACTAGCTGCCTTCCCGCTAGTCTTACACTATTAAATTAGGGACGGCTAGCGCAAAATTTTAACTTTAAGATGAGATTTTAATAAGAAGAAACAGTGAAGAAAGTTGGTATCTTTCACTTTATTATTAACCTTTTTTTTATACCTCTTATTACATATTATTATCATCATTTGTATTGAATTTTTAATTGTATGTTATGTTCTGTAAATGGTATTCAAGCTATTATATTTGACTAGTGAAATTTTTGTTTATTTTATTCATCAAGTTTATTTTGTAATTTAATTAGATGTCTAAAATTAGTATAATGACGAAACCAGCACTACTCTCTCTCTCTCTGTTAAGAAAGCAGCAAAAGGGTTGGTTGGTTGTTTCGTTTTAGCGCAAAGCTAAAGAGTGAACTACCTGCACTGTGTAAACCGCAGTGATCGATACCTGATTTTTATCGGATTATAAACCCTCAAGCTTACTGCTGAGCTACCCAGGTGGATTTGGGGAGTGGGGGAAGAGAAAGAGTTTTCAGATGTAACATCTCTCTGTTTGAATGATTTTATTTCATCTAACCTTTATTTAATAAACTACCCACTATTCTTCTGATCTTTAGATGTAGTGGAAAATTTGAAATCAGTCAGTTCTTTTTTCCTTTTTCGTTTGAAAGCTTTTTGAATTGACTCTTTTTCTGCATATGTATTAATTTTTTCATAGAACCAAAAAGTTTGTTCTTTAAGTCATCTTATTTGTCTCTCGGTGGGTCAGCGGCAAGTTTATGAACTTGCAACGCTGAAATCCGGGGTTCAATTCCTAGCAGTAGACAGAACACGGGCATATTCCACTGGATAGCTTTGCTGTCAAATAATAGTTTAAAATTATCAAAAAAATGTTTTATGTTTGTAAAAAAAATGCATGTACACAGTTGAAAATAACAAACTTTTTTAATTTCACTAAATATAACAAAATTACTTCTTTAGAATTCGGCTATAAGCATTGAAGAGTTTCATCAGAAAATTCAAGACATCACGAACTGTCCTCTTCGGCCATTTGTTGTTCCTTTCCTAAAGGTACGGTATAAAGTCTGAATGTAACTGAACTTCGAGGGAGAGAAGGTCTAAATGAATTCACATCATTTTACATAACTTATGGAAATATCTCTGTATAAGATCACCACTAATACCCGTGAACATTTGGTGGCAACACGAATTCCACAAAAAAATGTGCCTATCTTATCCGAAAAAACACACACAAATCCTTGATCCCATGCGAAGAGCTATATTATTTTTGTTGTTGTTCAAAATGCAAAGATAAATTTTTGATTAGAATGACCATTTATTTATGTGTCTGTACTAAGTTTTTGGTAAATCCATGGATCCAATCCTGAGAGCCTCCCAAACTCCTCTGCCCCCGTACAGTTTGAAAGTTTACAAAATATGAATTTAGATTATTGTGTCGAACATCTTTTTACACGTTAATACCAGTTTTCAAATCAATCAGATCAGTCAAACCTTTGAGCCCCCCAAATACCCTTATCCCTCTTTTTTTTAGCCCCCTTACGACTATTCCGACGTTTTTCACTTCTTTTATAATCTGTGGGATTAAGAACTTTCAAACAAAATACCAAGTATTTTTATCAAACATTGTGGGAGGAGTTCAAAAAACCAGGTAAAAACGTATGCGTAGTACAATTGAGAATTATAGTGATTGTGGAAACCATACTAACACGTAAGTTAAGCTTAACTCTTTTTAGGCCTATTTTACGCTCATTCATGTAGAGTCGGACCGACCCCCGTGGTACTCTTATTTAAAGTATTTATTAATTGAGATGAAATTATTTACGTATATGCTTTGAAAATTTTCCGAAATATCCTTTATTTCAGTTTGTGTTCAACCACGTGTTCACTTCTAAGTACTACAATATATCTCCATGTTTTAATTAAGCGAAACCTTAAACAAAAAGAGACCTTTGTTAACTTGTCTTTGGATAGTCTTTGATGATAAGATTAATTTAGTATTCATAATCTTTTGTTATATTAATGATACAGGAATGTTCTACTTGGAAACGTGAATTGTATAAATAATGTAACATCCCATATACACATCAATAATTCTATATTTCAGAGTATGTTACAATGATAAGCACTAAATTTACTAACATCACAATGCAGGTGTTGTTTATTTTTTATCATAGTGTATAAACGGTTATAAGAAATAACTGTATTTTCTTACATATATATTAATTTACCATTTTACACCGGTTCATTATGATTCAAACTAATGCAGCACGATGTTAGTGAAACTTATATCTTTTCGTATCTCAACAAATCCCTTGGAGGTGTATACATGTATGTATAACTTAAAAGTTTCGAAACACGTTCATTTCGATTGAGAACAGTTATAATATAGGAAGGATTATAATTTTCATTTTCTCTTTTCCTTTTATTATTGCAGTCTCATTTGCCAATGCTACAAAACGAGATCATACATTTTGCTCGTCTCGCCAAACAGACACCACAACAATACCTGAGACAATATGAACAGGCTGTTTTGGACTCAGTGGCGCACCCTAGTGGCGAACCTTTTGAAATATTTCAATCAAATTCCAAGGAAACCAGAAAGAGGCGCACGCCATCCACCAAGTAGGAGAAACGTTTATTTCATGTTCTAACATACGGATTTAACGGAGAATTAGGATCAGGTTTTAAAACCATACGGAGCAGACAATTACTTAAAAACTATTTTTAAAATTTGACATCTGATAATATTTGTGATGAAAATATCTTTACTTTGTGGGATGATAAAATATGACATTGTTTAACTTTATATAGCAAACACACACACATATGCTTTACTTATGTGTGTGTGTTTGCTAAATAAAGCTTGTGTGTGTGTGTGTTTGCTAGATAAAGCTTATGTGTGTATTTGCTAGATAAAGCTTATGTGTTTGTGTTTGCTAGATAAAGCATATGTGTGTGTGTTTGCTATATAAAGCTTATGTGTGTGTGTTTGCTAAATAAAGCTTGTGTGTGTGTGTGTTTGCTAGATAAAGCTTATGTGTATTGTTTGTTAGATAAAGCTTGTGTGTGTGTTTGCTAAATAAAGCTTATGTGTGTGTGTGTTTGCTAGATAAAACATCTTTCGTTTAAATTCTAAGATTAAATTTCATTTCAGAAAGTTTATATTCAGTGTCAGATAATAAACCCAGGTACGTTGTGTCACGATAGAACCTCAGAAGTAAGAGTGAAATTGATAAACACGTACATAACACATGCCGAATTTATGCTAAAGTAGATGCAGGATTTAACTCGTTAAACATGAAGAAAACAACACATCCGATCAACAAACAGGTACGCCCTCCAGTGGCTTAGGGGTAAATCTGAAGGCTTATAACGCTAAAAATCGGGTTCCGATATCCGTGGTGGGCACAGCACAGATAGACGATTGTACAGTGTTTATGAATTTAAAAAAAAATAGACCAAAAATTCTGACGCTTTCGAAGAGTTGACTATACTTCTTCAGGTTTCGAAGAGTTGACTATACTTCTTCAGGTTTCGAATAGTTGACTATACTTCTTCAAGTTTCGAATAGTTGACTATACTTCTTCGGGTTTCGAATAGTTGAATATACTTCTTCAGGATAAATATTTATTCTCATGGAGAAGAATAGTCAACTATTCAAAAGCACTCGAGTTTTGAATCTTTTTTTTTTTTAATTCATTGCACCTTTTGTTTGTGATCCTGTGGGCTAACTCTTTGACCAGAATTATGTAGCTCTATGTTTAACAACAAAATATAATCAAACCAACAAACAGGCAAATCACAAAGTAAAGAATACGCGGTATTTTGTACGCAGACGACATTTCGTGAATAAACAGTAGTTAATGTTTGAACCAACAGCTCTGAAAATATAGATAATCAAAAAGCATCTTACAATTAATTCTACAGAAACCACTTGCCCCCCTCCCCTCCCAGTGGCACAGCTGTATGTCTGCGG